TGTATATATATATATATATTGTATTTTTTTCAATAATAATAAAGTTTATTTTTCCAAAAACTTTTAATGAGGTAGCAATAATTTTTGTCTGCGAAGGTCACATGCATCATTCCTGAAGATGCGCAAATACGGCAAGGCGTTATATGCCCCTTCCTTACCCTAGGACAGTGGTTTCCAGCCTGTGGGGCGCGCCCCCCTAGTGGGGGGCATGCAGCTGTTTCCAAAATATCATTTTCGAATACAAACCAAAAAAGTCGAACAGGTGTCAAAAAAATGAATCAGCAAAATAGGTATGTGTTGTGACCGGAAAATTAAACTACCCGTTTTACCCCGTTCACTGATTCGGACAACAGCCAGCAGGTACTAAAAGAAAACACCGAGAAAAGTTAGAATAAGTATAATTTAAAAATACGAAAAGTATGAGTTTACAGTACAAAAGCTTGACAGACTACTTGTAACCTACTTACTTACATTTTAGGCTCGCGAATTAAAAGAAAAAATAACATACTATTATTAAATGTTAACAATACCGATAGTGTTCAATATATCACGTTACAAATACATAAACAACTCATTTCCTGCTACTAAAAAGGATAAACAAATGCAGAACTAATCGCTCTCGACAAGAATAAGTTTTATCATAAACAAAAAAGCAAAATATTAATTCTTTATGTGTGTCTCCAACATTCTCCCACCTGAGGAACGATACAATTTAAGTGACTCACATAAAAAACAAGAAACACGCATAAAGAATTCACAAAATTTGAAATCTGTTGGGTAATCTACACTGTCGTCCACTTCGAGTAATATAGCGCACCGCACTTTCGGATTCTCTGCTTTTGACGTCTAAAGGGACGTCATTCACTCCCGCACTTTCGGTCACTTGATCATCGGTTCGGTCGAGCCCGGGATCGCCGCTGACGCCTTNTTGTTTAAATATTTAAGTCGTTATCAATATACTCCTTTTCATCTAAAAATCCAAATTAATGAGGTTACACTATATGTAGTTAGAATAGGAAAAAATGTACCGTTTATACATACATATAATAAAACAAAATCTCATTCAGACACTTTTATTTTTAAGTAAAGATGTTGATAACATTTTCTACCAAACATATAAATGCATCAAAATTGTAATACATTCTCCTGGCAAACACGTCGAGTAAAAGAGCATTTTGCCATCCCTTTTTTTCATCAACAACGAGCCTCGGTCACTCAGCATAAACAGGTCACTTACAAATAACCGTCACACTGAGAGACCACGATGCGTGAAAATAGCAAAATGTTGCAGTCACAGCTAACAGTTAGTTTTACGTAATTACGCATAATTTAAATGTTACAATGAGACGGACACGCATGATCATGAATCATCCACGCGTGCCCCAGTTAGGATAGGCACGAATTTTTTAACCGTATCACAGGGTCTAATTAATAATTAGGTATAACGAATAAAAGCTATAGGGTTGTTCTTGAGGAAACAATCACGTATGAAGACAAACGGTTACGACGTTACAACTAAATTTTATACAAACAACGAAGAGAATTAGTAAAGTGAAAGAAGATGAAGAAAGGGTATAAAGCGCAAAGTACAAAAAATATGTTTAGGCACAAAATAAGTGCCCACACTAACACGTTAATCGATATCGTTCCAACGACAGTATCGCATTCAATAATATATTAACAATAAATAATAAGAACAATTCATCAGTTTAAAACGTTTACAATAAACTCGTACGCTAAGACTTATTCGTAAATGATTTTACGACTGTCCTCGACAACAATAAAACGCAATGTTATTTAAAACATCTCGTTACCAATATTCATTATATCATCATCCTCACCATCAATCAATATTATTATTATTACCATCGATATTTAATTATTTTATTTTATTTTAGTATTACCATTATTATTATTATTATGCGTCGTCGTCACTCGTTATTAACTACAGTATCAAAGATCGGAAATATATATCACAGTCGTGTACAAAATACTCTTAGCGTCGTCTTGCGACAGCTGTAACTGCAACGCAGTTAAAAAGTGAGCCTTGTGGACCCTTCTGTATTGGTTGTCATGTCGTTGACTAGACAAGACACTGCCTCAAACGATACATAGTATGAATACAAGGAGTTTCATTCTCTGAAGACAACATAGATATGCTAGTTGGCTGGGATTTATTTCGGGATTATTACGTTAAAATAAAGTTTGAAAAAAAAAGAATCATATCTATTATAAGTTTCATACAAAATACACTTTAACCACTGTTTAAATAATCAATAAAAAGCGTAAATAATTCTCAGGCTTCCAGTTTTTTAAAAAATCGCATTTTTGTGAACTAACAAAATTCAGACACGTGTTTTACAGTATGAAACACTATAAATTTAAAAAAAAGATTAGAGTTTACGTTTATATTGCAATATAAAATATTGTGAATATTTGGTCAGATACTTCATTTGACATACTATCTTCAGAAAATGAATTACTCGAAATAAATAAGAAAAAATGAAAACTACTAAAAAATATAATATACAAATCTAAAGACGATAAAACAGAGATATTGTAAAAAAATTTAAATTTCCTACGTAGACATTAGGCTCGAAAATGTTTGATGTTAACAATATGCATATTTGTTAATACTATTCGTTAATAGTAACTGGTGCAACTAATAAATCAAAATCGGCGTTTCGGGATGTGTCAACTTTGGGACAGCAAAACAGGGATTAAATACAATAATCATTATATTATCATCGATCACTAAATATTTTTTAATCGTTAACACTAGAAGACATCATTTAAAAGTGGTATACAAATTCTCAAATCGATCCTAGAATGACGGTCGTCATCTACATTAAATATTAATATTATTTAAATCTGATAATGTTATCCTCAACTAACATGAATTCGAGCGAGACTGACAACGTTCCCGACATCGAACGCTTATACAAATAATATTTAGAAGAAAAAAAGGAAACGAAATTAAGGAGGGAAGAAATTAACTTTGTCGTTAGTGGTAGGTAAGATTCAAACATTCGTATAGGCTTACGATTAGTATAGGTAGTTCTGAAATCTCGTTGTCGATCTTGTCGCTGTGGCATCGGTCGATATTTCTAGTAGAGTAGAAGCCCCGCCTGTCATCGTCAATCCTACTTACTAATACATGCTAATATACATGTAAGAGAATCTTACAATGGTCGGTAAAGTTGTACGTGTTTATATTTTGTTTTATGTTAACGATAAGTAGATAGTTGCTTGGTATCAGCTATTATCGTAGAAGTATTTTACATGGTGGCAACTCATACGATACAAATAATTAAGAAGCATGCTATTCGAGTTCCTTCTTTAAAATATTACTAATAGTAAGTATGTAAATAAAGCTGCAATATTGTTTCTTGTTTAAATATTTAAACCACTGCCCTAGAAGGCAACCTCATGGGGCCCTCGAGAGGTAGAAAGGTGGTGTAGCTACCCACTTAGGGACCCTATCTGCACATCCCTCAAAATTCTAGTCGGGATTAGGAGCACTTTCCAGTAAATCCGACCACAAATAAGATATGTTCCATACAAACGTTGCACTGAATTTTTTAAAATGCCCAAACAGTAGGTAAGTTGTTTGATTAATTGCCTATATCAAAAAGCATCAAGACCATGTTTCAAGTAAATCAACCACAAATAAAATTAATATCATACAAAAATTGCAGAAAGGGCAAATTGTCACAGGCCGTCGACCCGAGANTTAAGTCGTTATCAATATACTCCTTTTCATCTAAAAATCCAAATTAATGAGGTTACACTATATGAAGTTAGAATAGGAAAAAATGTACCGTTTATACATACATATAATAAAACAAAATCTCATTCAGACACTTTTATTTTTAAGTAAAGATGTTGATAACATTTTCTACCAAACATATAAATGCATCAAAATTGTAATACATTCTCCTGGCAAACACGTCGAGTAAAAGAGCATTTTGCCATCCCTTTTTTTCATCAACAACGAGCCTCGGTCACTCAGCATAAACAGGTCACTTACAAATAACCGTCACACTGAGAGACCACGATGCGTGAAAATAGCAAAATGTTGCAGTCACAGCTAACAGTTAGTTTTACGTAATTACGCATAATTTAAATGTTACAATGAGACGGACACGCATGATCATGAATCATCCACGCGTGCCCCAGTTAGGATAGGCACGAATTTTTTAACCGTATCACAGGGTCTAATTAATAATTAGGTATAACGAATAAAAGCTATAGGGTTGTTCTTGAGGAAACAATCACGTATGAAGACAAACGGTTACGACGTTACAACTAAATTTTATACAAACAACGAAGAGAATTAGTAAAGTGAAAGAAGATGAAGAAAGGGTATAAAGCGCAAAGTACAAAAAATATGTTTAGGCACAAAATAAGTGCCCACACTAACACGTTAATCGATATCGTTCCAACGACAGTATCGCATTCAATAATATATTAACAATAAATAATAAGAACAATTCATCAGTTTAAAACGTTTACAATAAACTCGTACGCTAAGACTTATTCGTAAATGATTTTACGACTGTCCTCGACAACAATAAAACGCAATGTTATTTAAAACATCTCGTTACCAATATTCATTATATCATCATCCTCACCATCAATCAATATTATTATTATTACCATCGATATTTAATTATTTTATTTTATTTTAGTATTACCATTATTATTATTATTATGCGTCGTCGTCACTCGTTATTAACTACAGTATCAAAGATCGGAAATATATATCACAGTCGTGTACAAAATACTCTTAGCGTCGTCTTGCGACAGCTGTAACTGCAACGCAGTTAAAAAGTGAGCCTTGTGGACCCTTCTGTATTGGTTGTCATGTCGTTGACTAGACAAGACACTGCCTCAAACGATACATAGTATGAATACAAGGAGTTTCATTCTCTGAAGACAACATAGAAATGCTAGTTGGCTAGGATTTATTTCGGGATTATTACGTTAAAATAAAGTTTGAAAAAAAAAGAATCATATCTATGATAAGTTTCATACAAAATACACTTTAACCACTGTTTAAATAATCAATAAAAAGCGTAAATAATTCTCAGGCTTCCAGTTTTTTAAAAAATCGCATTTTTGTGAACTAACAAAATTCAGACACGTGTTTTACAGTATGAAACACTCTACTGCGCCCAAACCCTTCAGAGGGTGAATCTTTCAAATGCCGAAATAGGTATTTTACTAATTATATGAAAAAGCATTAAAAGCAAGTTTCATGTAAATCTGACCACAGATAAAATTTTAAAATAATCTGCCTTATTACTTGTACACATCATAAAGGAAACCTCTGTCCAAAATTCCAGCTATATCATACAAACCTTGTCCTATCAATTACAAACAGAACAAAAAAGAAATCAGTAGAATTCACAGCTAGTAACAGTTTGAATAGGATAAAGAAAATTTTTTATGCTATTCTTCCAATTTTTCAACATAAGAATTTGCACCTACTTAAACGAATATTTTAATAAAAATTACCAACACAGGGAGGCACTTTTTTAAAATATGGGTGAAAAAAGTATTAAAATACTTCTCAGATCATCACGTAGGACACACAAAAAGTGAATGCCACCAACTCTAAAAATATGTTATAATAACCACAAATCCAAATAAATTATTTTAAATGCAAATATATGTAATTAAATTAAAATAAAGACAATGCGTCGCCATCTGATGGGTATTTGCTGCTACTCCCAGAAAGACAATACTAATTAGAATCCTTAGATGCACAAAAGCCGGCCATGGGTGACAATTTGTCATCGGCCTAAAGAAGGAAATACATGGAACTTAATGAGTGTTACACCGTAACCTTATGATATAAGTACATTCCACATTCGCCAGAAAAGAAATGAATAGAAAATACGTAATAAGCACACGAAAAAAAAGTTAATAGGAACGTTGGTAATTATTTAGAATTGGGGTTCCAGCACGAAACTGCTCCAAATTTTTTTTATGGTTTTATGGTCCTTTTGGGATTCCCAACATTACTTTTAAGAAGGGGGAAACACNACGCTTATACAAATAATATTTAGAAGAAAAAAGGAAACGAAATTAAGGAGGGAAGAAATTAACTTTGTCGTTAGTGGTAGGTAAGATTCAAACATTCGCAGCGAGTTAACAAATGGTCAAGGAAGAACTTACATGTGGTTTTTCTTTTTTTTTTTTTGTTTAATCATAAACGCCCTGTATTATTATCATTACTATCATTTAAAATAACATGAACAAAGTAATATCGTGTGAGCCATCGTGCTGAAAACGAGTTTCATCAAGATTCGAGTAAGAAAATGGATAGTGCAAGTGTCAAGGGTACGTTTAAATAAGCAGCAGTTAGGAACAAACTAAGAATTCAGTTTTCCCACCAGTCGTCACGCACATTTGTGTTGTAACTTCCTCCGTAGTTAGCGCTGCGATCATAAAATGAACCTGAAACAATCATTTTAAATTCTTCATTGATACAATGAACGAGTTGCAAAAGAAAAATAGACTCCACTCAAAACACAATGAATATACAAAACATTAACGTATGTAAATGACACAACAAAGATTATAATAAACTTATATTTGCAAATTTCTTTGTACTCGAACTCATACAATTACATATGTGCATGTACCAGGTCCCACTTATTATATTTGTCAACGATATTAGTACTGTAACTGTATGTATTGTTAATTTCATACTCACTTTATTTCATAATTTAAATAAAATAACTTCAAAAAATATTTGAAATTAATTTAAAAACAGTTTTAGTTGTTATTCTTAATTGTAGAAATTTCTTGTAAGGTTTGTTAATGTAGATCTAGTACCTAGTATTTTATTACGGTCAAGCAAGATCGGAAAAAATAGTTTATTAAATTTCTAAAACAAACAGTTCAAAATGTGTTCATGTTTTAAACAGTTTTTTTTACGTTTATTTTGAACACATACTTTAAACATTTTAAGCTTGGTTTAAATAAGTTTCTTTATAGTGGCATGTTAACATCATTAACAAGTCGTTTTTTACAGTGTTTAAAATACGTGTTTTAAAACAGTTTTAAGCTTGTCAATCATATGAGATTTTTTCCTTAATTCACATCTATAACCAATAAGTACTTTCACTCTAGGCGAAGAAATTTAAGGAATGTTTAATATGTAACACTTTGTTTTAAACATGCCAACCCTGCTGTCAATTACCTCTTGGCCAGAGACATGCACATAAACTACAATAGTTCTGTACGTAACTATTAAAAACCAACACGGTAAGCAACACATTACACATTGTCTTAACAAAAAGAACATTAGGGATCATCCAAAAATTATGTAAGGGCATTATAAAATATTTGTTAACCTCCTCCCTTTTTTAAACAAGAACGACTAATATTTACAAACACCTTCACGGTTAATTTTCTTTATTCTTGTTCTACAAATACGTAGGGTGAGTTACTAAGGCCGAATAAGTCTGCAAAATACATACAGATCAAAATAGGGAAATGTGTTTCAAATAAAAGCTACGCAAAATTAAATACGTAATGATGTAGGTAGATATTTTCAAATATGACGGATTTCCAATTTTAAATTGAACCCCTTGTATATTATTAAATTTTTGAATTCCTCAAAAAAAATAAATGCCAGTTTATTACACGGGGTGTAGGTTGCACCATTTTGGAGTTATTTCACATTTTTTGAAAAATTTGGCGTTTTGTAGTGTTTTGCATCTTTTTTAATATCTTC